TAATAGAGGCTTTCAAAAAACAAAAGAACAACAAAGTACCGGGTCCGATGGACTGCCAACAGAACTATATAAAGAACTTCAGGATGGTCTAGGCCAAACACTACTGGAGGTTTATAATGCTGTTCTCACAGAAGCAGAGATATCTCCATCAAGGGTGGAGGCCAACCTAGTGTTGATTCCGAAGGAGGATGCAGACTCAATGCTAATTCAAAATTATAGGCCTATTTTACTATTGAACACAGACTACAAAATATTTGCATCTATAATAGCCAAACGTTTGAAAAGATTCCTTAACACATTCAAGACCAAAATTGCTTCCTACCTGAAAGGCAGATAAAGAATAATATGAGAACAGACATATTAGAATACTAGACATATTAGAATACTATGAAACATAACGAGAACAAGTGGCACTGCTTTTCTTAGATGCCTAAAAAGCATTCAATAATGTAAATTAGAAATTTATGTTACAATAATTGAGGTATATGGACTTCAGTGACAAATTTATAAATATGTTCAAGGCAATATATTCAAAACAAGAGGCCAAAGTAATGATGAATGGGGAGGCAACACAAAGTTTTGCAATACAGAAAGGTACAAGACAAGGTTGCCCACTATCTCCACTGCTGTTCATCCTTACGCTGGAAGTATTGACAAGGAACATTTGGAAAGATGAACAAATTAGATTGGAAATCAGAAGAGAAAAGTACAAATTACAAGCCTTTGTGGACGATTTAGTTTTTATTCTAGAGGAGCCCTTACAGTCTGGCATGAAGCTTATAGAGGAACTGGTAGAATACAGATAAGTAGAGGGATTAAAAATAAACAAGGAGAAAACTAGAATTAAGAGGGTTATTTTTATTTCAAAACATCCCTATAAAATTAGAGAAAAGCTTCTTTAAAAATTTGAAACAAACAATATCGAAATTCATATGGCAAGGAAAGAGACTAAGAATCAAATTGAAATTAATGCAAGATGCCAAAGAAAAAAGAAGGTTTGGCCTGCCTGACTGGGAGTTATACTATCAAACTGCAGCACTCACTTGGATAAAAGAATGGATTACATTAAGGAATAAGAGATTACTAATACTGAAAGACCATGATATCCAAGCAGGATGGCACAGTTTCTTTGGTATGAAAAAGGCAAAGTACATAAATACTTCGAGAGACACTACATAAGACAGACACTCTTGGCGGCGTGGAATAAAATTAAACATCATAACTACATTCCAGTCTGGCTTTCTACAATAGAAGCACTAATACACCCAAATCTGATAAACATGTGGAAAATTGTTGTATATAAGAATATATTAAATGAGAAAGGAGAAACCAGATCAAAATTAATAGCACAAGGGGTAAAACTAGAGTGGGGGTCATATTTACAAATACAGTAGAGATACGTACAGGATATGAAAACATGGGGCATTAATTATCAAAATGTTCGTAGGGATTGATGACAAATTGATCAAGTGATATATAAATACCTATTAAACTATAACATGGAGGAAGATATAATATTGAATTGGCTAGATGGCAGAATCTCTGGGAAAAGAATAGAAAATTAACATTGGCCACATCATATAAGGAAAATTTATACAAAATGTTTTATAGGTGGCATCTTCCTCCGGCAAGACTGGCCAAAATGTTCAGAAATCTATCACCGAAATGTTGGAAATGCAAGGATGGACTGGGTACATACTATCATATGTGGTAGGTATGTAACCACGCAAGGAAATATTGGTGACAGATTCAGAAATGGTTAGAGCAAATGGAGAGAGAAATATTTGTGGTTTTAAATCTACATGTTCCTTTATCATTTTTTTCTGTCCAAGTATGTATTTTTGTCCAATATGTTTTTGCTTTTGGGCACATCCACCACATGAGCCCAGAATCTGATTACACTTCCAACATTTAGCTGACATATCTTTGGCTAATCTTGCTGGCGCAAAGTGCCATCTGTAAAATATTTTATATAAATTTTCTTTGTACACAGTAGACATTGTTAATTTATAATTTCAATCACACAACTTTTGCCATTTATCCAATTCTATATAGAATAACCAAAGTTTTTAGCCCACATTATCATAGTTTCTTTTTTACTTGCTCTTCTTCCATTCAAGTGTAAAATTTTTAAATTAATTTCCCATCAGTTCCTGTTAAAATCTGGTCCAATTCTGTTGGTTCTTTATAAAAACCATATAATTTATCATCTTTTTCATATCTTGATTGTATTTTTACCTGTAGCTATCATGCTAAGTTTATCCCTTGACTATTCAGTTCCTGTTTACTTTTCAATTCCCCTTTCTCATTCAAAATATTTTTATATCTTATGATTTTTTCTGTATCAATCACATTTGGATGTATCAATGCTTCCATCGGAGAGAGCCAGACTGGTATTTTCAAATCGTGTTTCTCCTTATTTTTTTCCCATACTGAAAATAGAGCATTTCTAATGTAATGTCGTTGGAATAACTGTGTATGTTATTTTTCCCGTATCATAGAAAGCCGTGCTACCCCAAATCTTGACCCTCCAAAGTTAATAATCGTCTATGCCTCAAGGTTATCTATTCTTTTAGCCACATAATTGCAGATGCCTGGCAATAAAACTCACGATGTGGCAGCCCAAAGCCTTATTTATTCTTAGAGTCTTATAACAATTTCAGACTTTTCTTGCTTTTTTACCTTGCTAAATAAATTTTGTTACTAATCTATTTAATTCCTCAAAATATTACTTTTCCAGCTTTATTGGAATTGTTTGGAACAGGTATAATAATCTCAGCAGAGTATTCATTTTAATGATAGCTATTCTTCCTAGTAGTAATAGTAGCAAGTTTTTCTACTTTTCCAAGTCAAATTTAACTTGCTGTATCAATTTAATGTAATTATCTCCTTTTATAGTTACATATCTTACTGATAGATGATATTTTACTATCTTCTTTCTCTGATATTTTACTTTCTTCACTATCTGAATGTCTTATCTTCTCCATTAACTCTCTTTTCTGTTTATTTGTAAAGTTTTTGACTAAAATTTTAGTTTTCTCTTTGTTTACTTTCAACCCTGCAACTTCTCCAGAGTCATCTATTTTCTTCATTAATTTGGTCCGGTTGTTTGCAGTTCCTCTGTGATAAATACCAGGTCATCTGCAAATGCCTGTAGTTTTTGTATTTTTCTTTTTTTATCTCCATCCCTTTTATTTCTGTATCCTGCCGAATGTCTCTATTTAATACTTCCAATGTCAAAATGAATAGTAAGGGGACCAGTGGACACCCCTGTCTTATGCCTTTTTTAATATTAACATTCTCTGTTATGTCCCCATTTACACTTTTGCAGTCTGGTATATATTGTCTTGATCACAATTAGTAAATTTTTCACCAAATTCCATATATTTTAATTGCTATATCATAAATTGCCAATTTACTTTATCAAATGCTTTCTGTGCAACCATAAAAATCAGAGCCATTTGTTTTTCAGGATGTGCTTCATAATATTCCATTGTATTCAAAATTATTCTCATGTAGTTTTTAATTTGTCTCAGGCAAAAATCTGTTTTGATCTGAGTGTATAAATTCATTCAAGAATCTTTATAATCTTTCAGCTATTATTGACACATAAATTTTATAGTCCACATTTAGAAGTGAGATTAATCTAAAAATTTTAATTTGCAATAAATCTGCATCTTCCTTTGGTATAAGTACTAAATGCTTCCATTCAGGATTTTGGTATCTTAGTTTCTAACAAGACTTCATTATATATATGATGGTCCTAGAGTATCTTGTAATTGTTTGTAAACTTCTGTCGGTCGGCCATCTGGCATTCTATTGTTCTTCTGTCTCTTAATCGCCTCAGTTAATTCAAACATTATCTTTTCATTTAATATAGTTTTTTCTGCTTCAGGTTTTTTGTTCATTGATGGTGTGTTGGTATTTTATTAGGCAGTTGTGTTTGCCAATGCTCATGAATTTAAGCATTTTGCATCCATTTTGGAAGGCCAGGTTCCATGCTTGTGGGTGGTTAATGGGTGCCTACTTTTTGGCACCATTTTCTTGCAGAGGCATTCATGGACAAAGTGTAGTTGTTTGCGGATTGACAATTGTTTATGGCAAAGATCTCCCAGCAGTAAGCAAGTTTAAGTGACTTTTGCCTATGCAGTTTAGAAATTGTAGAGAATATTTGTAGCTCAGGTTGCAGAATTAGGGAGAGGGTTGTCTTCCAAGCTTGCTACCAGTGGGTCCATCAACAAACACATTGACTTAGAACTAGTGCACAAACCAATAAGGAAGCAGACCATCTGAACCAACAACAGAGCCAACTCCCCAGTTGAATTCCACGCCTCACAGCAACCAGTCAAAAGTCACAAGACCAGAACTAGTCTTGTGATTCAATCAGTCTTGTGACTCAGTCTTGTGATTCAATCAGTCATAAGACCAACCAACCACTCAGGACCTGTGTAAGAACAAGTCACTTCACCCCAAACCCTGCTATCTAGTTTGGTAACAAAACTTCCAGGAGCCAAGCAGCAAGCTCAGAAGACACACCTCTGCCTAAACCTACAACCTGACCTACAAATGTTCTCTGCAATTTCTAACAAGCTACTGAATTGCTCTGAAAAAAAATTTACTGTCCTGAAGCCAAAAAAATCAAACACCTGCTTTCCTTCTGAAAGGTAGAATGGGAGGAATTGGCTTTTTAGGTCAGAACATCTATGGTATTTGGGGTGGGGGGGGGGGTTTCATACCCCAATTTTTTAGGAATTAGCCAAAGATGCTTACATTCTTTTAACCACCCTCTTTTCTAGACTCCTTCACTTAAAAAAAAGTATCAAGCACTATGTTTAATTTTCTCTTTGTTCAGAATATTGAGATTGTACTTTTCAAAATATCAGTTTATTGTTCTGAATCTGCACTTTCCTTCATATAAAAAAAACCTTAAATTTAAAAATAGTGAAGATAAGATGCAGTGCAATCAAATTGGTTTTTCTCTTCCTGTTTTTTCTTCCTAGATTTTGATAGTTCTGACAGCATTCCTGAGAAATTTGCAGTTAGGACAGGCATAAATAAAATTAAGAAACCTCTTGGAGTGCTGGCAAAGAAAGTAGAAAGTAGTGTTGAAGATAAGAAAGTTCATAAAATAAAAGACACAAAGGCTGTCAAAACAACACCGAAATCCAGCACCCCTGTCTCTAAACCGAAGACTTCTGAGTCAAGCAGTGAAGAACAGACTCAGCCATCCCAGAAAGCAGCTAACAAACTCTCAGTGGGTAGCAGTTCGATCATTAGCAAGCAAGCCCCAGCTGAGATCAGGACCTCTTCTGAGAGTTCCACCAATGAACAATTTAAAATATCTGATAAAAGAGAAAAAAAGAGAGGACAAAATAACTGCAAAATAGCAAAAAAAGTGTTAAAAACCTCAGCCAACTTTGTGGGCAAAACATCAAAGACTCCAACATCTGAAGTACTGAGCTCAGCAAACAGTAGTAATTCTGATGAAGAGGCTACAAAGGAAGGTTAGTAATTTTTCATGAGGGAAGCATTAAATAGAATGGAGCTAGTTTGGTAATAACACCAAACCAAATATAATAAGGTAAAGAAAAAATGTGATGGAATGTGCACCTGAAGAATCGATGGATAAAAGTTTTATGAATATAGAACTTTCCCTGAGAGAGACATGAAAATCCCAATCTGGATGAAAGGGAAGAGGTTCAGGGTAGCTATACCTACAACCTCTCAAAATAGATATAGTAGGTTACAAGGTTTAGTCTGGCAAGATTCTGCTTGTTAGGAGTAAGTAATTGAAGGATTGCAGTCATTTGGATCTTTGGGCTTGGTTCTGATACCATAATTTAATATGATAGGTGAACATCATTCCTATCTGTCAAGGAAGACTTTTTAGCCACAGCATCATTTTAACCATAGCTTAATCATGCTTTGGCTTAAACAGCATCATGTTATAAACCACACTGGATTATTTTGCTTAGCATGTTGTATGTATCCAGACATTGGGTGAATCAGTTCCTGACAATTACAGATATTTTAAATAACTATTTCATACCTGAATTTATAGCACAAATGAAACACTTTCCTGCCCCATTAGCTGCATATTGAGTAAACTGATACATACTTAGAATGAGATAGTTTTGTGGAAGCTTACTATTCCTGTAAAATGTAACAGGCTTATCAAAAAAAAAGCGGAAAAGGAAAGGTGAACAAGAATTGGAGACACCAGACATCAAGAAGATGAAAGTCAGAAGTCCTCATACATTTCCAAAATCAAAGCAGGTAAGAATTGAGAAAAAGGATTTTATAATTTTATTTATTTTACTTTATTTACTAAACATATTAGTTGTCCACCTTATCACAGGGTAACTCTAAAAAAGCCAAATTTGAATTGTGTTTTACAAGGTTTTTTGAAAGAAGGTAAGATATTATGAAATGGTCATGGGTGGCCTTATATCTCTGGTTCTAATGTTGGAGATTCTAAAAACAATTTCTCAACTAGAAAAGCTCCTAAATTGCCAGTTTGAAGGATTGGTTGGAAATCAGATATATCATAGGTGAGTAATCCTCAAGTTACAATTGCAATTGAATGGGATTGCTGTTGCTAAGCAATGAGGCTGTGAAGCATGACATCATGTGACATCATTTAATGATGCCTTGCAATCTCAGTTGTCACAATCCAGGATGCATCAGTGAAGAGAATCAGGTAATAAATAACAGGGTACTGGGGGAAGGAGGCTCAACACAGGATACATGTAAGTTTGGGGGAGAAGGTGCTTGGATGAACATAGAGTGCATGTGATCACAAGCAGGCCAAGAAAAGAAAGCACTGGGTTGCGTGCATTCTTATATCCAAACACAGAGAAGCTCAGGAAAGAAGGTGTGGAATGAGTGCAATGGCAGGGAGACCCTGGAAAGAGGATAACAGGGTACATGTGTGTAGTAAAGCAGGTACATGAGATGTGTGCATCATGGAAATAGGGTTTGGGGTGCGTGTGTCCATGTATGCAATTGCAAGTTGGTCAGGAAAAGTCTGCTTTGTGTACAAGTGAAGTGGTGAAGGAGAGCACAGTGCATGTGTATAAAGAAAACCACTCAGGCACTTGAACTTTCCTTCCTAGCTTCCCATTAACTTTGCCTTTGCTTGGAGGAAGCTGGCAGGGAAGGGCACATATTGTGGTCATGTGACTATGTGATGCCACAATTGATCATGTGCTAGATTGTTTTGTTCATGTGACCATAGGGATATTGAAGTGACAAGAACTTGGAGGACATGTCCCTTTTGTTTAGCACTTGGAATGATTATATCATAAGGATTATTTGTATTTTTTTCCCTTCTACAGCAATCCAGTCCTTTTCGCAGAATAAGAACAGAAGAAATAGAAATAGATGTGCGAGTAGCTAACAATTCCTTTGATGCCAAGGTAGGGATAGGCATTCTTCATTCAGTAATATTTACAAAATAGAGTCTACCTGGATAACCTATAACTAAATTGCAATATTTGTTATTTATGTATGTACTGTTTCCCCCAAAATAAGACCTATCCCAAAAATAATCTAGTTTGATTTTTACATGAGTGTCCAATATAAGCCCTACCCCCAAATTAAGCCCTAGTTAAGATCCCGCCCACTCCGGGCTGCACAGGGTGGGGTGAGATGCACGGGTAAAAATCAAGCTAGGGTGGGGAATGGGGGGTGGGGGGTGGAGCTGCCCTACTTACCTTTGGATAGTTGCAACCAGTCCTCGCACACCACGACACCTGCCTTGCCTTGCCGCCCCACTTCTTCTGTGGCCACTTTCCGCTGCTTGCATGCTTCGCCCCTGGACTCCATTTCGCTGTCAGAGGCCTTTAGGAAAGGCCTCCACAGCTGATAAAAGAGCTCCAGATTGATGCATTCCTGTTTGATGCAATCCAGCGTTCTTTAATCAGCTGTAGAGGCCTTTCCTGAAGACCTTTGATGATGAAACAAGGTGGGGGGGATGTGCGTCAATCCATGTGCAAGCAGTGGCAAGTGGTCACAGAAGAAGTGGGCTGGCAAGGCAAGGCAAGTGTCATGGTGTGCAAGACCTGGTGATGCGCGTAAGCAGTGGCAAGCGACTGCAGAAGAACTGGGCTAGGAGTGGGCTCCTGCTGGGCGGGGCTGTCAGTGCCACCATCGTGAGGTGAGTCAGTGGAAAACATCCCCTGGTGCCTTTTTTGGTGACAAAAAATATAAGACTGGGTCTTATTTTGGGGGAAACACGGTATGTGTTTATGTGTTTGGTCATTTATGTATTTATTGTGACCTATACTCATACACTCTGGACAGTTTACAAATGCAAAGTGATAAAAACCATTTATGCTTAATGTTTTGTGGCTAATGATCATCAATTGTCTCATCTTTTCCAGAAAGGAGCTATAGATGACTGGGGTAAAAAAGCAAACGATGTTCTGAAGTTTACAAAAGGTAAATCCTTCCGACATGAGAAGACAAAGAAGAAAAGGGGAAGTTATTGTGGTGGCACTATCTCTACACAGATAAACTCCATCAAATTTGAAAGTGACTAACTTTCCGCCACATTGGGAAGAGGATCCCAATTAAATGATGAAATGTCATGGATGACTCTTCTACAACCTGTTGTCTTCATTTCTGATGGGAGATGGTTGCCAGTTTTCTATGTGCTAATGTGACTTTTAATGGAGGTGTGGGATTGAGTCCTTTGGATTTCTCAGAAGTTTCTAATTTTGCATCGTTTTATGTTACAGCACACTTGATAACATGATAAATAAACATACCTTACTTCTAATTCTTACTCTTCCTCTGATGCTCATATATATGGCAGGGATCAAATACATCTTCAATTATGCATATTGTGATCTTAAATTTTAAATTCCTCCTAGAAATAAAACCAACTGTTCTTCATTAATAACAGTTTCTAAACCCAAGTATGTGTCATTAAGCATGGCTCTTGTTTCTGAGAATCACTGCTTTCCGAAACTCATTGTGGTTATAGAGTTCAATAGAGAAAAATCTAAAAGAACTATCAAGTTTTGATTTTTACATTATGTTTGGTGGGCAGAAATTTTATTTAAATATAGACTTATAATATATTTTCATGAGATTTATAAATGATTGTGGTCAACTCAGAATAACATATCTAACACCTATTGTCGGGCCCAAGCAATCAAATCCATTTGTGAAAGGTTCAAGTCAGCTTCTTTATTGCATTCTACCTATATTACAAGAATCTCCCCACTCTGCTTGGGAATGAACAGATAAGGTCCCATGAACTTGGGATACAGTTAGGCTAATGGCTTTTCTGGCTGTATAAGGACTCATGGCTAGCTTCCCACTTGACCCCCTCTTCACCTGGCTGAGAGTTTCCCAATATTTTATGTTTACAAAGGCACATGGATAATGTGACTATACAATGTGATATTAGGCCCTCACGACATGTAAAATACCATGATCATAAAGTTAGTACTATTCATTTACATATGTATGCCTAATTATGCATATATGCGTAATTATGCATAGATGCACAAGCATACATAGATGCATAATACATGCTCTCTTTTTATTCTATTTTCATTTCAAAGAAAGTTAAAATACAAAATTTCAAATGTTTTTTCCTTCAAAAAGCCAAGCAAAGAAGAAAAAAACACAAAACAAGACATTAAAGTGCATTTTAAAAAACTAAAACATACACAAATATTATCCCCCTAGTTGAATGCTGATTAATATATTACAACAATATTAGTTTTTCACCCCTAGCAAAACAGGCCCCAAACTTTTTTAAAACTACTAAATCTATTTGCAAGTTATTAGTCTGTCATCTTTGTACTATGTTAATGACCAAATAGTTAACAAGAAAAACAATAACAAAGCAAACTTATTGTAATCAACTCATAGAAAATTTATTACGACATCTTATCTATCCCCAATGTCCCAAAATATAACAGTGATTTGTCCTGGATTTATTTCTTAATACCATCTCGTATCAGTTGCTGTCTGGTTAAACATAATGTCCAATCTGCAAAGTCAATCAGTCTTCCAAAAAAAAGTCCAAATGCAATTGTTTTACATTTTAATGTGATAAATCTATTCCTCAGTCTCCTTCAATCTTCCTAGGGAAAACCAATTTATCACTTCTCCACTTAGTCACGTTTCAGCTGATGTACAAGAATATAGGATTGAACTTCAGGATGGCATGTGCAATCAACTCAGTTCTGAGTCTGTAAGCTCTAAGTCTGTAGAGTCCATATTTCTTTCAGATCGTATTCCTTTTGTGAGTCTAATTTATTACAGCTAGATGCATCTGAATATTTTCCACAATCATTATCATTTCATCAAACTTCTTTAAAAAGTTTTCAAATACAGAATTCATATTACCAGTCTTTTTTCAAATGTCAGCCATATTTGCTTGTCTGTAATCTGATACATTGTGGCTCTCTGTAACTTGGCAATGATAAATAACAGGAATCTCCATCTAATTTTTTTTTAAAAAAACTCCATTTTGAAAATTAGTGAAATGTAAAAATCCTGTAGTGAGAGACCGACATAGATATAAATGAAATGAAAATTACTTTTTCCTTACAAAAAGCAAAAGTTGTTCAGAACAGCAACATAAATCAAAGGGAACAAGAAAAGAACCAATAAAGTCCAGTAAGGGATTAAAATAAATCAGCATTCAACCGGTCAACTTTTTTTTTTTTGAAAACAATTTTATTAGTTTTTTAACAAACAAACAAACAAAAACATAAAAACATCAGCTCTCTTCGATACTTATATACAAACAGTGTGTCGGTTGGTTCATCAGTTTTGTGCATTCATTTCGTAGTCACAGTTACAATTACATTACATAATAACTCTTATTATCAATCCAAACTTATATATCCTCATATCATTATTGAAAGAAAAAAAAAAGATTTGACTATACTTTTATTCAATCATGCCTTATGAGATAACTATAATTTAAGTAATTTATTCTATAACAAATCATATAATCATACCAATTCTATCTTAAGAAAAAAAAAAAAAAACATTTTATAAATGTAATGTCAAGTAACAAAAGAAAAGGAAGAAGAAAAGTCAATAATATTCCTTATTACCTAACATTCTAAATATTCTATTTTTGTATTTCATCATCCAGCCATTGATAGAAAAGGTCCCAAATTGTATAAAATTGTTTATCTTCTTGCTCTCTAATTTCAAATGTCAATCTACTCATCTCAGCACATTCCAATATTTTCTTAATAACTTCCTCCTGCAATGGAATTTTCTCATTTTTCCAATTTTTTGCAAATACAATCCTAGCCGCAGTTAATACATTGACAATCAGGTACTTCAAATCTTTACTATAAACATCTGGTAAGATTCCCAATAAGAAAAGCTCCGGTTTCAAATCTATATGTCTCTCTGTCATTTTTTCCAACCACATGCGGATTTTAGTCCAGTATTTTCTAGCATCCTCACAAGTCCACCACATATGGTAATATGAACCAGGTATCTGATGACACTTCCAACATTTTTCCGATTTGTTCTTAAACATTCTTGCTATCCTTGTCGGGGGGAAATGCCACCTGTAAAACATCTTATACAAATTTTCTTTATAAGCTGTAGACATCGTCATTTTATAATTTTGCGACCATAATTTCTGCCATTTCTCTAAATCAATCCCATATCCAAAATTCCTCCCCCAAGCAATCATAGTTTCTTTAACTTGTTCTTCCTCTAGCTTAATTCCCAATAAGTAACCATATAGTTTTTTAATCATCTTCTCATCAGTACCTGTCAAGATCTTATCTAAATCAGTCTGTTTATCATAAAATCCCTCTGTTTTGGAATCTTCATCATACCTTGAGTGTATTTGCGCATATGAAAACCAATTCATCTGTATACCTTGTTCCTCTAAGTTTTGTATCGATTTAAGTTCACCCTTTTCATCTAGTAATTCCCCATATCTAACTGTTTGTTCCTTTTTATAAATTATAGGATAAGAAAAAGCTTCTATCGTCGATAACCAAACTGGAATTTTCAAATAACATTGTTTTTTTATCTTCTCCCAGTTTAACCACAAAGACTCCCGTATATAATGTCTTCTAAAATAGCCCTGTGTTTTGGTTCCCTTACACCATAGAAAAGCATGCCAGCCCAACAGCAAGTCATGACCTTCTAATGTCAACAATCTAGTCTTCCTTAATGTTATCCATTCTTTAACCCACATCAAATTTGCAGCTTGATAGTACAACTCCCAGTTAGGCAGGCCAAACCCTCCTCTAGTTCTAGCTTCTTGCAAAAGCTTTAACTTTATCCTCGCTTTCTTACCTTGCCATATATACTTCAACACAATTTTATTTAAGTCCTCAAAATAGTCTTTTCCAAGCCTAATTGGTATTGTTTGAAACAAAAATAAGATTCTGGGTAGAATATTCATCTTGATTGTTGAGATCCTCCCTATTAATGACAATTGTAAGTTTTCCCATTTCTTCAAATCTAGGGCTATCTGTTGTTTAAGTTTAATATAATTATTCTCTTTTAATGTACTACATCTTGGTGTCAAATATATCCCCAAGTACTTAACCTTGTTTGTAACTTGGATTTTCAACAAATCTGCCAATTCTTCTCTTTGTCTTAGTAACATATTCTTTGACAAGATCTTTGTTTTATCTTTATTTATTTTCAGACCGGCCACCTCACCATATGTCTCTATCTTTTCCAACAGCTTCAAGGCTGTTTCTATAGGGTCTTCTAAAATAAAGACTAAGTCATCTGCAAAGGCTTGTAATTTAAATTCTTCCTTTTTAACTTTCATTCCTTTTATAGTTTTATCTTCTCTGATATTTCTATTCAGCACTTCCAGAGTCAATACAAATAACAAGGGAGAAAGGGGACATCCTTGTCTTGTGCCTTTTCTTATGTTAATAGAGTCTGTAAATTCTCCCTCTATCATTACTTTTGCAGTTTGCTCATGATAAATTGCTTCTATTGCTTGGATAAATCTTCTAGCAAAGCCCATCTGTTCCAATAAGAGTAACATAAATCTCCAATTCACATTGTCAAATGCCTTTTGGGCATCTAAAAATATCAAAGCCATTTGCTTTTCAGGATGTGCCTCATAGTATTCCAAAGTGTCCAGAATTACTCTCATATTATCTTTAATTTGTCTCTTTGGTAGAAATCCATTTTGGTCTGGATGGATAAAAATATTCAAATATTTTTTAAGTCTTTCTGCTAATATCGAAGCAAAAATTTTATAGTCTGCATTTAATAAAGAGATCGGTCTATAATTCTTAATTTGCAGTAGATCAGCCTCATCTTTTGGAATAAGTGTAATATAAGCTTCTGACCATGTTTTAGGTATCATCTTCTTTGACATAGCTTCATTCATGACATCTAAAAGTGGAATGCTCAATGATTCTTGTAATATTTTATAGAATTCTGCAGGCAGCCCATCTGGACCTGGTGCTTTCCCATTATTTTGTTTCTTGAGTGCTTGACTTAATTCCATCATTGTTATATTACTTTCTAACATTTCTTCAGTCTCTTTAGATATTTTAGGTAAGTTTGCATTCTGTAAGTACTGTTTAATTTTTCCTCATCAATATTCTCTTTCTTATAAAGTTGTCCATAAAAGTCTCGAATAATTTCCTTTTTTTCTTTATTACCATAACAGACTTGACCTTGATCATCTATTAACTGGGATATTTTCCTCGACTCTTTCTCCTTTCTCAGCTTATATGCTAGCCATCTACCTGGCTTATTTGCATCTTCAAAATAGTTCTGTTTAGCATTCCTAATCTTCTGTGCCAGTTCTTCTTTCTCTATTAAGTCCATTTTATGTTTAGTTATATCCAGTTTCAATTTAATGTCTTTTTTCTGTGGCATTTCCTGTAACTCTTTTTCAAGTCTTTTGTGCTCATCTTCCAGGGCTTTAGTGGCTTGCCTTTTCCTAGCATTCTTTTTTCTTGTATAATCTATTATCAAACCTCTCACATATGCCTTCATTGTGTCCCAAACATTCTGCGCTGAAGTATCTTCTTTTCTATTTTCTTTAAAGAAAAAGGCAAGTTCTTTCTCGAGCCATTGTATAAATTCCTTCTCCTTTAGGATAGTATTATTTAACGTCCATCTCGATCTTTTTTTTTGGCCCTTCCATTTAATTGTCAATGGGTTGTGATCTGCCCAAGTACTTGCTCCAATATTTATTTCTTGAATACTAGATATTAATTCCGTTGAGATCCAGATCATATCTAATCTGGACCATGATAGGTGTCTATTTGAATAAAAAGTATATTGTTTAGTTTTGGCGTTTCTTTCTCTCCATATATCTTTTAAGATTAGTTCGTCTGTCATTTTAAAAAAGGATTTAGGAAGTATCGTTCTATTATGCTTTGCTGTTGTTGCTATATAGTCTAATTTATTGTCCACGATTCCATTAAAATCTCCCATCATAATTATATTAGCATAGTCCAGTCCAGTTATTTTCATATGTAATTTTTTATAAAATTCTTCTTGTTTATCATTCGGGGCAT